GCTTAAATTCGGCGGGTAACCTCACCTGATCTGAGATCAAAGTTAAAGGTTTGGAAAGATCCAAACTATTGCTTGATAATGGGAGACGGGATACATGCGCTACTAACAAGTTATATATGTTGTGTATATGTTAAGTATTACAACAACAGAACCAACAGACTATAATTCACCTTTATGTAACAAACGAGATCCTTTATAATGAGAAGCCTTTTCTTCGGGTCATGTTAATCCGCTGTTCGACTTGAGCGTCGGCAGATTGACCAGCATTCTCAGGTATCCCCTGCCAGTGAAATATATTCCAACATCCCGTTGTTCTGTGGCTGTTGATGTATTTAACAATACACAACCAACAAGTTTTCACCATGCACCACCATCTATACAAACTCCTTACTAGGCTTGTATCCAGTTAAGGACCAAGCCAAGAAAAGGATTAAAATATTACGAAGCCGTATGTGAACTAAGTCATAGCAGAGTAGGTGTTAAACTACTGCTGCTAAGCATAGACCATCCGGTCATCCCTATACATGATAGACAGAGGCCCCTTGTCTATCTATGTGATAGTTAGTAATTTAATCTTCTCAACTCTCAGACAGATGTGACTTCAGAATAAACTGAAAGCCGCAATGTGCGTTGGAAGTTCAAGTGCTCGGCGTATCTTGCGATTCGCACCGGTTATCGTAGCTAGCTACGTTCTTCATCGATTGGTAATTCGAGTGATCCACCGCTTGTAGGTGTATCGTGCCTCCGTGGGACTTTTTTATCAATCTTAAGTCTGCTCAAGCAAAGACAATTCAAGTACTGTCGTATTAATCTACATGATTATGTGGATAAAGATATATCACATCTTCGAAAAGATGCCTGGCGGAGTCCACTTCAACAAGTCGCACATGACACCACTATAAATAGTAAATGACTATGTGAACAAGAGAAGCTTATCCCTCTTTGAACCTTGCATCCCAAGTTAATGGGCTACTAGAAGGTACCAGCACACTAGCAGATTGACAATATACATGAATGTCAAGTTTCGTCTACGGATAATTATGGCTATCTTTGGATAACCTAGCACTCATGCTTTTACACATGAATGTCTAACCATGCAAGCATGGATTTTTATTGGGTTTGATAAAACTTTACTGCTATCAAAGTTAATCTATGCTTCTCTTATAGTCCTATAAATAAGATCTACGAAGAGGAGATAAACAACAAGATATACAATATCGTTGATATCAATGGGGTTTTGTTAATGATCCTTCCGCAGGTTCACCTACGGAAACCTTGTTACGACTTTTTCCTCTAAATGATCAAGTTTGAACATCTTTCCAGCACAATCTGACTCTAAGTTTTACCTCATAGTCTAGATTGACCAGTCCGAAGTCCTCACTAAATCATTCAATCGGTAGTAGCGACGGGCGGTGTGTACAAAGGGCAGGGACGTAATCAACGCAAGCTAATGACTCACGCTTACTGGGAATTCCTCGTTCATGGGCAATAATTACAATGCCCAATCCCCATCACGAAATGGGTTCAAGGGGTTACCCACTCCTTTCGGAGCAGGAAACATTTTACACGGTGACCACTTCAGTGTAGCACGCGTGCCCGGACATCTAAGGGCATCACAGACCTGTTATTGCTCTGTTTCGTGAGGCTTAAGGCGCCCTTGTCCCTCTAAGAAGTTCTTACAGTGCTACAGCATCCTTACCTCATTTGATTCTAAAGGCTTAACGGTAATAGAGCTTCGATCACCCGAAGGATCACAAAGATATTACCACCTCTAGGTCAACTAAGGGGGAATACTGTAGTTTAAACTGCAAGTCTATTTAGTAGGTTAGAGTCTCGTTCGTTATCGGAATTAACCAGACAAATCACTCCACCAACTAAGAACGGCCATGCACCACCACCCACTGAATCAAGAAAGAGCTCTCAATCTGTCAATCCTTTCAGTGTCCGGGCCGGGTGAGTTTTCCCGTGTTGAGTCAAATTAAGCCGCAAGCTCCACTCCTGGTGGTGCCCTTCCGTCAATTCCTTTAAGTTTCAGCTTTGCAACCATACTTCCCCCGGAACCCAAAAACTTTGGTTTCCCGGAAGCTTCCATTCGAGTTATGATAATATTACTCAGAATGATCGCTGGTTGGCATCGTTTATGGTTAGAACTAGGGCGGTATCTGATCGCCTTCGAACCTCTAACTTTCGTTCTTGATTAATGAAAACATTCTTGGCAAATGCTGTAGTTTGTCTTGCGACGGTCCAAGAATTTCACCTCTAGCGTCGCAATACAAATGCCCCCGTCTGTCCCTCTTAATCATTACCTTGTGTCTTTAAGACCAATGAAAATAAGACCAAGGTCCTATTTCATTATTCCATGCAAGATCATTCAAGGAAAGGTGATGATAGATATAGCTATAAATAGTCTATAACTTATCATGTGTTTAGGCACCTCTTGCGAGGATTAGAACGCCTTCTTTGAGCAATTTGAATTGTTCAAGGTAAAGGGTTCAATTGCTTGAACCGACACTCAATAAAGAGAATCGGTAGCAAATATTGAACATTTCTGTCAATACACTATTAAAGTAACCACCAGAAGAGAGTGATGCGGGGCCGTACAAGTTCGTGAGAACAAGTAAAGTCCCTAACAACTACGTCTACTTCCTTTTCAGTGGACCCAATAGGTATGACTGAAATCCAACTACGAGCTTTTTAACCGCAGCAACTTTAATATACGCTATTGGAGCTGGAATTACCGCGGCTGCTGGCACCAGACTTGCCCTCCAATAGATCCTCGTTAAAGGATTTAAGTTGTGCTCATTCCGATTACGGGGCCTCAATAGAGTCCCGTATCGTTATTTTTCGTCACTACATCCCCGTACTGGGATTGTGTAATTTGCGCGCCTGCTGCCTTCCTTGGATGTGGTAGCCGTTTCTAAGGCTCCCTCTCCGGAATCGAACCCTCACTTTCAATTCAGCTCTTGAAGAGTTAACATCTCCTTGTTTTCTCTTTATTTTGTGCTCCAAATTGAAGTTTTTCTCCAACTATTTCATCACTTCCTTTGAATTTCGTCATTTTATGACGAAACCTTGTCCATTTTTCCCCTCTTTTCAGCCCCTATTTCCGCTCCATTAGTTCATCTTTTCACCAATACATATCGCCTTCATCGTTTTTCACCTCCATCTTCAGCTCCTTCCACCAGATACCGCCACTTCACCAGCTCACCCCATCAGAGGGCGCTTTCTGGCTCCACCCCAAAACCAGTTTTTGGGCTCCACCTCCATCTTCACCAACGCCATCTTCACCGGTTTTTGATTCCCGAACCAACTAAACGGGGAATCAACAAAGTCCTTCCTCTCCAAGTGGGGAAAACCAATTCTCTTTTCCCCTGCCACCGACCAATCACTAACCACCATGGGGGACAGAAATCGTCTGCCCCAAGCACCTGAATCGCCACCTCGTGGCAACCAACCTCTACCACCCATCCGCGTCAACACTTCTCCATCTGCTGCAAGTGTTTCTTCTATTACCTCCACCGCCTCGACCAATTATGACTCGCCCAAGCTTGACAATAATCAAGTTGTCACAATGTTCAAGGCCGCCAAATCCCTCGTAACCACCCCTGGCTCCAGACCCAATAAGTCCCAGTATACAGAGCTCTTCCATATCGCCGTTCACTTCTATAATGTCTGCAAAGAAAAAGATGAAGATATTAAACAGCTGACTGAAGAGCTAGAAGAGGCTCGTGACTTTGATGGCACTCTCAAGACATCTATCATTGACTTAGAATCACGTCTTGAGTCTAAGTTCACCACCCTCATTGACCAGCTTATCGAATCTCGACTCCCTACTGTAGACCTCCAATCCAGCTTGACGAACAACTTAGCCACCCTCGAAAAGACTATTGAGACTAATATCAATAGAGCACTGTCCAGGCAAGACCCCACCACTGACAATAGACCATGACCATCCAAACCACCAAGTTTTGCTCAAGTCACCACTAAACGCCCTAGACGTAGACCACAGCCCCATGAAGTACCACTTGTACTAACTCCAGTTGACGCTGCACAAGATGTTCTTGTCACTGACATCTTGGAAGACGATATCGACACAGGGTTCACCCAAGTGAACAGGATCAGGAAAAGAGGCGTAATAACCTCATCGTCACAACCAACTCCATCAAGGACAAAGAGGCTCTGAAGGAGAAGCTCTTATCCTCGCAGCACCTTTCCACCAAGTATCACATTAAGGACCCACGAACCAAGAACCCCAGACTTCTGATATCTGACATCTCGCCCGCCGTAAAAGATGATCAAGATCTCATCAACCAGATCTTTGATTATAACAGCCATGTGAACACTAAGCTCAACCGAGAAGACCTGAAAGCCAAGCTCAAGCCCATCTTCCATCCAAGACCTGATCGCTATGGCTACAAGTCTGTTGTAGTCGAAGTACCACCTGAGCTCCGAATCGTCCTTTTGTCCAAGCCGTTGTATGTCAAATGGCAAGTCCTCTCCTGCACTGATCACATACTCATCACCCGTTGCTACAAGTGTCAGAGCTTCGGTCATCAGCAAAATAAATGTCCACAGCAACACTTTATATGCTCCATCTGTTCCGGTGAGCACAACTATAAAGACTGCCCTAATGCAAAGGATCCTACCAAGCACAAGTGTTGGAACTGCATTGTCCACAATGCTCTGCCTGGACTACGAAAGGTCGATCACAAACACCATGCTCGTGATGACAACTGCCCCATACTCAAGAAGCACAAGGAAATGGTCTTTAACATGACTAACTATGGATTCTGAGGCCATTACAATCTGCCAGCTTAACTGCAACAACAGCAAGACCTGCGCCATCCAGCTCTCCAATATTGCTTTTACCCATAACTGGGACATACTCCTGCTCCAAGAGCCGTACTGCACAGGAAACGAAGTTAGTCGTTCTGCATATGGACAGATTTCACTTCTTTTTAAACATGGTCAATCACCACCAAGAGCTGCCATAGGTATCGCCAATCCATCAATGTCCGTCTTTACCATCATGACCTATC